CTTGGTCCTCCAGTAGCCACATCCGTCTCTCTCCTTCTTCCATCCCATCCCCCATCCCCAGTGCCTGCTGGTTTATGGTCTCCACACCCTCCCTCGTCTGCCTTCATCCCTGAATGGACCCTCCTATCTAACAATTCACCCTCTTCTAGCTCAGACTTAGGCAGGGAAACACAGGAAAAACCACACCTCTGTTGTCAGGGACACCCCAGAACTGTGGCTGGACCGGGATGCCACATGGCAGTCCCTTTCCTTATCCTCAGAAGACACTCTGAGCATTTACCTGCTACTCAGATCCTTACTTAAATGCATCCACTCACTTTTTAAGTATGATAGTGTCTTTGATTCACAGAGACAATCAGGAGTAACATCCAAATTAGGTGTAAAATCCTGGAGTCCCTCCCACGATCACTGACAAACTTAACTGCAGATACTCTTATAGTGCTGGCTGTGGTCCTCCTCCCCTCAGCCACGTGCCTGGGGGCAGCCTTCCCAAAGTGGTCCTCTCTCCAGGCTCCCTGGACCTCTGGTTCCTGGGTTTGGCCAATGGGCAACACCAACAGGAGATGAGAGATCAGGAAGAGAGCGAGCCTGGGTCTTTCTTCTCTGCATCTTCCTCAGATAATTTGTTCTCAGACCACAGCTGTTCTGTGAAGCTCCTCCAGAATGCCAGCTGGGACTCCACTGACTCCCGTGACTCCATTGTCTTCTTATCCCTTCAGCCCTAAGGCACCAATCATTCTTCCTCTTTTGACTCCCTGGTGCAGGACCATCCTCTTGGACTGACTTAACCCCATCTCCATAAATGTCCTTTAAGTTAAAGCCTCTACACTTGAACCATTCTGGGTTTTCTTGTTTCCCACCCAGGCCCTGAATGATTTGCTTGTCACCTGCAAAGGTGAGGCCACTGACATCCACATGAGGGCAGTGGCTCCACTTTTGTTCTTGCCTCTCACCCTTTCCCAAATCTTCATTTTTCCCATGCTGCTTACTGCACACACATTCCCTTACTGCACACACATTCCCAACTCTTCCATCATCTGCTTTATGTTTTTTTTTTAAATAAAGATTGATTTATTTGAAAGAGTAGAAAGGGAGAGACAGATCTTCTATCCACTGGTTCACTCCCCAAATGGCCTCCAAAACAGGGGCTGAGCCAGGTGGAAACCGAAACCAGGAGCTTAGAACACCATCTGGTTGTTCCATGCGGGTGGTAGAGGTCCAAATACTTAGTCCAGCTTCTTCTTCTTCTTTTTTTTTTTTTGACAGGCAGAGTGGACAGTGAGAGAGAGAGAGAGACAGAGAGAAAGGTCTTCCTTTGCTGTTGGTTCACCCTCCAATGGCCGCAGCGGCCGGTGCGCTGCGGCCGGCGCACTGCGCTGATCCAATGGCAGGAGCCAGGTGCTTCTCCTGGTCTCCCATGGGGTGCAGGGCCCAAGCACTTGGGCCATCCTCCACTGCACTCCCGGGCCATAGCAGAGAGCTGGCCTGGAAGAGGGGCAACCAGGACAGAATCTGGTGCCCCGACCGGGACTAGAACCCGGTGTGCTGGCGCCACAAGGCGGAGGATTAGCCTAGTGAGCCGCGGCGCTGGCCTAGTACAGCTTCTGCTACCTTCCCAGGTGCACTAGCAGGGAGCTGGATTAGAAGGGGAGCAGCTGGAACTTGAAATCATATGGCTTGGCAACATCCCAGATGTGGCTTAACTCACTGAGCCACAACACTGGACCCTATCTCTTCTGTATTTTGAGTTATTGCCTTATATCTTACCTTGTGACCCATTCAACTTCTGTGAAGTATGACCTTTCACTCACCTCCTCCCCTCCATTCAGTTGATGCCATTCTCTTTGCTAAGATGTCCAGTGAAGGATAATCACTACCTGCAAAGGATGGGTCTCAGCAGGGACCTTTTGCAATCTCTCTGAAACATAGTGGTTCTGTTTATTTGTTAAATAAATTAATTTTATGTATTTGAAATGTGGGAAGACAGATTAAGAATAGGTGAGATGAAAAGGGAGAGAGAGAGAGAGAGAGGGAGGGAGAGAGAGAGAGTTTTCCCATCTACTGCCTCATTTCCCAAATGCCTGCAACAGTCAGAGCCAGGCTAGGCTGAAGCCAGCAGCCAGGAAAGCAATCTGAGTCTCCTACATGGATGGCAGAGACCATCTGCTATCTCCCAGGATGCACATTAGCAGGAAGCTGGAATAGAGAGTGGAGCCAGGACTTGAACCAGGCATCCCAATATGGGATGCAGGCACCAAACGGCCACAGCTGAATCACTGTGATTCTGTGGTTATGAACATGGCTTTGGAGTGAAATCACTTGCCCTCTGCCTGTTCCTGACCCATTGTCGTCCTGGCACATTTTGTAACTCCTCTAAGCCTTGATTTCTCTTTGTGCAAAATGGGATGTAAACTAACTACCTGTGTCTATAATCATGACCATTGCTTGGTGCATGGGGATACTCAGTCAAGGGAGTTACAGTGGTCACCACCATACTTGTTAATTATCATGGATTTTCTTTTGAAATGCTTCCTTCCATGGCACCCATTGATCAGGTTTCCATAGTTCTCCAAGTCGTGACAATTTGTGCTTAGCTACTAACTGCAGAGCCTGGCATTTTCACATTTCAACCTCCAGTTCTGACTGCTTGTTAGCACTGGACAGTTCTACATGGAGACCTGCGCCACCCGCACACCATCAACACTCAGCCCTCTCCTTTCTCTCCAACCTGCCTGTGTTCCTCCTCCTGTTGAGGAGTTGAGCCTTATTAGCCAATGGGTTCAACTCCACCTAATTGTCTAAGTCAAGAATGCAGCTTCCCCCTGTACTCTACTCAGGGTGAGATTTCGGGTTACAGGATGCTGGGGGCAAGCAGCCCCCACTACCAGCTCCATCAGAGAATCTCGGCTGTACGTGCATTCTCTTTCCTTCTTCTTATAAAGCGACCAGGATTCAATACTGGAGCGCCACCCTGATGGCCTTACCGCATCTGAATCTCCTCCCAAAGGAAACGCTGCAGTTGGGTTGAGTTTCCACCCTTTCAATGCCTCACAATGGGCATTGGATTTCAATATGAGTTTTCAGAGGAGACACATCGTATACAAATCACGGCACAGACTGTGAACGTTTCGCTCACATTGCTCGTGACCTAACCTGGCAGCCCCCTGTCTCACCCATCTCTACATCGTCTCAGGCTGATAGAGGAGACACTGCATTTTCTGCAATAGGGCCTAATGCAATCATTTGGCTTCCAGTGAGAGCAAGGGCTCCCCTGTGAGCCAGGCGTGTGGGCTTCTGTGCACGATGTGATGATGGCTCTGACCTTCTCTCTCTCTCTCTCTCTCTCTCTCCTGCCGTGTTTCAAAACCTCGACACCACCTTCCCAGGTACGTGTGGTTTCATTGAACGACTGTGTTCTTGGAATATTGACTCACCTCTTTGATGGCACCTTTTCATCTGTAGTGCATTTATCTATACTGCTATGGTTGACAATGACCTGTCTCCCTCCTTTGGCTTCATTATAAGAAAGACAATAAATAGAAAGCCTGCTGTTGACTAAAGGGTTAAAGGTGTAGCTTTGCATTTTCCCCCCTTCCCTTGGAGACTCAGACCACCCACAGGTGCTCTGTATTCCTTCCACGGAAAAAACTCAAGGGCGAAGAGCCTGGGTTTTGAATGCGCCTGCCATGTACATTCATAATAAAAGCCGAGCCGAATGGCACATTCATGGCAGTTCCCTAATGTAAATGAACGGGTGAGTGCAAGTTTGGGGGCGGCCCGTTCGCACTCATCCCTGACCAAGGGATCTGGAATTTTCCTGTGAAACGACTCCCCCTCTCCCCACAGCAGCTGTCCGTCCCCTCTTCCTCAGCCTCGCATCTTTATGATCCTGCTGGGTAGGTTTTTTTTTTTTTCTTCCCACACTGCCGTGGGGTAACAGATCCCGCCTTTGATTGAAATGGAATCTTCCACTATTGAGCGAGCCTTTGTTGAATGAGTCACCGGGGCGGCCGCCCATTGGCTGAGGCCCGCCGGAGCCCAGGGGATTGCCTGGCACCGGCTGCAAGGCCCTGCTTCATTCACAGAATCGCTGGCTCGCTCGCTAGCCCTTTCATTCACACAAACAGCATTCATTCACATTTTGCTGCTTTTGTCTGCTTCTAATGAAGATCACGGTTTGGGAATGACAGGGCTGTTTTGCTTCAGATTTGGGGGGGGACTTTGAGAAGCATCAACATCGTCCATGGGGTGTGCCTTGGCTGTTGCTATGCAGACCAGGGACAGGGAAAAAATGAATGCTGGGCGGCTGTTGTGCCAGGGCTGCGGCACCGGCGGGGAGCTGCGGGGACGCGTTTGCTGCGCCGGGGACGCCGCGGCTCCTCTGCGCCCGTGCGTCCGCGGCGCCGGCCGCACCCGCGCGCTCGCCGTGAGCCTCGCTCCCTAAGCCCGGGTGCGCGGAGCCCGGTGCAAGGACTTCGGGTGGTGCACAGGCCCAGTTACGGGCGAGAGAAGACTCAGGGCGGGTGAATGCATTTGCTCGCCCCAAAGTTGCTGGAAAACTTTGACAGTCTCCACGGTGGAGCAGGTTCTCTGAATGCCCGAGAAGACTGGCAGAGCCTGCCCAGGAAGGGGCCGGCGGGCTGCAGAGTCCTGGGCGAATATTCTTGGGGGCTTTGGTTGACTGGCAGGAGTCAGGCCTGTGCTGGCGCTGGCAAGCCTGAGCTGGGCTCCTGAAAAGAAGGCTTTTTTTTTTTCTTTTTTCCTGTGGATTTGATGTGCAATGAGAACAACCGCATTTTTTTCCTTCCTGACTGCAGGGTCACAAGCAGCAACCGAAGGCACACACTGCAATGTATTGGTGGCGATCCTCAGGCGTTTTTCCAGAGCTGAAACACATTCAGTTGGGATAAAGCTTCAAACACAGCTCCCCCTTTTTTGGGGGGAGTGGATTTCTGGAGCCTGTTACCCCTCATCAAAGGAGCATTCTTTTTTTTTTTTTTTTTTTTTGGAAGTAGACATTCAGTTTAACCCTGGCTGGAGAAGACGCCTGCAAATGAGCAGGGAGGCCCCTTGATTGCCACTGCATAGAAGTTCATAGGCAGATTTTCTTTCTTTTTGGAAAAACTGCATTGCCACAGACACTCGTCATGGCCGCTGTGTGGATTGGAAAATAAAAAGAAAAACCCCAGGAAACTGGTATTTTATGTTCACCTGGGGGGTGAATATTTCCTTTTTGTTGTTGTTGTTTCCTATCCAAAAATTCCTGCTGCCTTTCCAATCAGAATCCAACCGGATTCGCTCAAGGCTTATTCTTAAAAAGCCTTCGTCACGTTTTAACCCGTCGCCGTCACTTTCGCAGGCTCACCCAGAGGCGCTGAGCAGGGAAGAGGCAAACCTAACCCAGAAGAAGGGGTTTCACCAAATCCCTGTGCTCCACCTGAGGACCTGGATTTACCTTTGGCACAGTCGCCGGGTGGAGGCGGGGGGGATGGGGAGGTGAGACACCAACGGTCGGAAGGAAATATCTGGGGAGGTAGAAAAAGGCAGTTTGAGAATTGATTGGCTCCAGTGTGCTGACTGCGCGTGGATGTCGTTTTTTCTCTTCTCTCTCTCTCTCTTTTTTTTTCCCTACAGGAAGTGATTTGCAGCGCTCACGAGCCTTTGTTGAGAAGGGTCTCCTCTCCCAGTGAGTCTGATTTCGCTGTGAGCAGCCCAGAGCAGCTGGGCGCTCCATCAGAGAGCAACTATGACTTTAGCGGAGCGAACGTGCAACCCCAGGCAGCGGGCTCCGGGGCCCGGGCTGCGAGGCCGCCGCGGCGCTGGCTTCTAGTGGCGGGAGGGCACCGCGCCCCGGCTCTGTCGTCCCTCTCCAAGAGGCTGTCCCGGGACCCCCAGGTTCTGTCCCGCTGCGGGGCCCGCGGCTCGCCTGCTATGCGCGGCAGCCCGCGCCGGGGCCGGCACCAGCAGCGCCCGGGCGGATGTGGCGAGTCCACGGAGGGGCATGCTTCCGCGCACCAAGTACAACCGCTTCAGGAATGACTCGGTGACATCGGTCGATGACCTGCTCCACAGCCTGTCGGTGAGCGGCGGCGGCGGCGGCGGCGGCAAGGTCTCGGCGGCGCGCGCGACCCCCGCGGCGGCGCCCTACCTGGTGTCCGGCGAGGCGCTGCGCAAGGCGCCCGACGATGGGCCCGGCAGCCTGGGCCACCTGCTCCACAAGGTGTCCCACCTGAAACTCTCCAGCTCCGGCCTTCGCGGCCTGTCGTCGGCCGCCCGGGAGCGGGCGGGCGCGCGGCTCTCGGGCAGCTGCAGCGCGCCCAGCCTGGCCGCCCCGGACGGCAGCGCGGCCCCCGCGCCCCGCGCTCCGGCCGTGAGCATGAGCGCCTCCAGGAAGGGCCGGCCGGGCGACGAGCCGCTGCCCAGACCCCCGCGGGGGGCGCCGCACGCCAGCGACCAGGTGCTGGGGCCGGGAGTCACCTACGTGGTCAAGGTAGGTGCGCGCACGGGCCCGACGAGGGCCACCTCGGTGGGGTAGGCAGGTCCGCTGCAGCCTGGGGTGCGGGGGGCGCCCAGGACTGCCGCGTTCGGGGCGGGCAGTCGCGCGGCGCTCCTCAGTGAGCTGTTCGCTTGGCAGCCGCGAGGAGAGAACTACAAATGCGCCTTTTCCGCCTCGGTTGGGAAGAAGTGGAACGGTTGGGTGACCTCGCCCTGTCCTGGTTGCTCCCGGGCTCCACTCCTTGCGAGCGCCTTCACCGCCTGGCTTCCTCCGATATCTGGCCAGTGTCCCAGGCCGCGGCGGTCTGGCCTACCTGGTGTACTTGGAACACGCTAATAATACCTGTGCAGTCCCTGGGGTTACAGGTGCAGGAGTGTCACTACTTCTGCTGTGTGCTCCCCTGGCGGTAGGGGATCGAGAGGGATGAGGGGGTACGTTTTCTTCCCCCCAAAGCCAGAATCCCCAGCCCCGGCAAGCCAGGCCAAACGCTGTCATGCTTTCTCTTAAAAGGGTTCTACTTTCTCCCTCCGCAAGGCTTTCTCTGGTGTTTAAGTCTTTCACCAGGGTCGCTTTTGCTTTACCACAGCAAAAAGACCCTTTGGGATGTTTTGGGCAGTGACTGTGGTCTTCCACTTAAATAGGTTCACCGGGCAGGGGGCGCCGCACCAGGCAGGGTCTACACAGGCCTGTTCCCCCTCCAGCACAAAGAATTATAAAAGGAGGATAGAGTCAGTCCAATTCCTGCCTTATGCAAACACGTTCCCCTATTTAAGGAACTCCTCAGCCCAGTTCAGTTACTGTGCCCAACACCAGTTGCCTCCTGTCTGCCAGGTAGCAGTGAGCTGCTTTACCCCTAGGCAAGTGGGGGAAGGATCCAAATTGTCATTTCAGTCCTGCCACTCCAAGGCGTGACTTTTTTTATTGGAAAAGACACACACTCTCCGCCCACGGAGTGCTGGTAACATTGAGAAGCCAGCAGGATGTAAACACTGGCTCAGACCCAGTGTAAGAATTCACCAGAATGTGTCCCCAGGTATGATGTAGGACCGTGGGCATTTTGGAGCCAAGATATAAAAAGGACGTGGTTCACTTTGTGGCTAACTGAATGTGACCACTGGTGTTACAAATTGGGTCCCTTTCTCTTGTGAGTCTGTGTTTTAATTTTACCTGCATTTTAGCTTCTGATTTTGGATTGTTGTGTTTTACCAAAAGGGATGGAGATCAGTATGAAATATGCACATTTGGTCGGGTTTATCTTAAGAGGAAATGAATACTAATCTTGCATTGCTTATTCAAATTATGTAACCAAGGGCCAAAAACAAAAAGAAAGACCAAAACCAAAACCAGAAAAAAAAAACCTGACAATTTTGATGTTAAACTGCGACAGCAGAGTATATTAATGGCTTATATACAGTGTTAGTAGGGTTGTCGTTAAAAAAAATTCTCCATTTAAAGTAGATAAATAGACATTGGCAAAGCTTTCTGTTCAAGAGGACTTCAAAAAGTTCATGGAAAAAATGGAATTAAAAGATAGATTTATTTTGGTGCAAAATCCTATTTCATAATCTACATTTATGAACTTTTTGAAGATGTCTCGTACTGGTTGTGTTGAACACAGAGGGTAGTTTTCAAATTGGAGGGCGATTCTCCAACTTATGCCTTTAAAGCTTGCCTTAAAAACATCTCTTAGGGTTTTGCTTTTGTTTTTTGAAGAATGAAGGCAGACAACTAGTTCTGTTGGCCAAAATATGGTCATCCAATGGTGAATGCATTAAACTAGGTCTGCTGTGCGTGGCCGTTCTATGGGTGTAAGATCTTGTGACTGCGTCGGGCATGAGCAGTAGTGAGGGCTGGGACCGCTCCCCGCCATCTGTGTCCTGGGGGCTGCAAAGAGCTCTGTGCTGTCGTGGTTTGCCGCTTGTGCATCAGCAGCTGTGAGCCATGGTGCCAGCTGGTCATGGAGTCGGAGACTGATGGTTTCGGCTTTCCTAGAGAAGTTTGAAATCACGAAGAGAGGAGACCAGACAGGAAAGGATTATTTCTCGTGTGCCTGTAGGATTCAGATTATCACATGGCCCTCTGTTGGCACACATGTGCAAATCCTCACACTGTTGAGTCGAAAACGATGAACTTGTTTTACTGAAAAATGATGAGACTGAATGGAAAATCACAGCCTGGAGGTGTTTACTGATTCACGAATGTTCTGCAGATGATGTCAGGTGGATAGAAATGGGCACCTTTTATAATACGACTGCACGTCAATGATGAGATCCAAAGGTTGAGAGCTTGGGAAAAGGATGTATTATTCTCTTAGATGTGACTTTTCCCTAAATTAAAGAAAGCCCCAAATGGAAAACCCCAAATGGAAGATTCACATTCTCTGTCATTATACATTTTCTTCTCTCCTAGGAATACTTGCTATACCTACTTGCAGGTGAGAGTAGGAGATTACACATGGGAATTATAATTCCAAGTCATTTCAACTTCATCTGGTTACGTGACAGCAGGCAGGCAGGATGAACGCAGAGTCTGGTGGGTTCTGTTCATCTCAGAAACATCAGATTATTGGAGCAGCATTGCATAACGTTAATTAAGGAAGGACCTAGAATTTAAAAGTGGAAAAATTCCTGAGCCATTCTAGAATTCAGAGCTTCTAACATACACAATTGGCCCTTCCTACCATCATCGTTACGCACAAGGGGAAGGCCCCGGCTTACCCGGCTCGAGTTTTGCATGCAGGTCAGATTGGCTTCACTGGTGACATCGTTTTACTCCTCTACACACACCTGACACCTGTGTTTTCTTTTGGGGATTTTAAGGGGGTGAATGACAAGATATGCCCTTGATAAAAAAGAAAAATCCAACAGCAAAGAATGACTATTTTGATTGAAATTCCATTAGAGACTATTTTATATTTGGACCTAACAGGTTGGTAGAAATACAAGCAAGTATTGATGTTGGTGGTGTGCATTTTTAGTTCTTATTGCCCTGAAGTCAGAGCCGGTTAGGGCCCCACTCTTCCAGGGCTACTGCTGGTGTTGCATGCTCCTCCTTGTTAGGAAGGAAAGATGGACACGAACAGTTCAGGGACCTGAAGGGATGTTCAGTTCTTTTGCAAGGCTAATTCCACCTGTATCTTTTTACTTTTAAAAACAATATTTGTTTGATAGGCAGAGGGGCAGACAGAGTTGGATATAGAGAGACAGGTTAACTTCCACTGGTTGCTTCTCACCCCAATGATGGCAGTGGGCCGAACTAGGAGCCAGAAGCTCAATCCAGGTCGTCCACATGGATGGCTGGAACCTGGTCACTTGAACTCTCACTCCTGCAGTAGCAGGAAGTTGAGTCAGGAGCCATACCCTCCACAATGGGATGTGGGCATCTTAACCAGCGTCTTAACCAGTAGGCCAAAACGCCTGTTCTGGGTGTTTAGTTCTGGAAGAGTCTCTGGGCCCAAAACAAGAGCAGCTTTGAGCTTCAGCTTTGGAGCTGCCCAATGGGGCGATGGATGAGGCTGGGACAAGAAGGCAGTACTGTGTGGGCCACAAGGGGCCCCCAAAAGAATGACTCCCCTTTAGAGCACATCACGAACTTAAAAAAGGACACCAAGTGACCCAAGTGCCTACGGCAGGAATCGGCAGACCCAGTTTAAAAGCAATGAGGTTAAGTGAGCACTGCTCAGAGCTGCTAAGACCGTGGAGACCAGCACTGAGTGAGCAGGATTAAGCCATTCGTAAATTTTGCCCATGACCCCGTCAGTCAGACTGTCACACCTTAACTGACAATCAATGATGAGCTATTTAGAGGAGATTTTAAGAGTCAGAAAAGGAGCGAACTATTCCCCCAGATAAAGCCTCGTTTTGACAAGAACTCTTTCAAAATAATTTTCTTTCTCTCGTTTGAGAATCTGATGATATTTGGGGTGGGATAAATATTTTATTTATAAATCTGCTGCTGCCTTTATAGTATGTATAAATTGCAGTTATTCTAAAATTTATGATTTTTTTTCACTTAGTTTTTGTTAAAATATGTACATCTTTTTTTCCAGTCTCTAAGTTTTGGTAGCTGTGAACAAAGACCATACAGAACAGCCATCAGCAAAGCTATTTGAGTACAGATGATCTTTGAATTGTGAGGTTCCAGCTTAGGACCTTAAGACTTTGTGATGGTGTGAAGGGCTTGGCGTTCGGCAGAAACCACGCTTGGATGTTCAGTTTGGGTTGTTCCTGGGCTCACATCCTGCAGGTGGATCCTCTCTGGCACCTCTGGGTGGTGGCAGTCACCAGGGCAGCTCCCAGTGAGCCGTAGGGTCGGTGGGCTCCTCAGGGAGCAGCCGGGTTCTGCAGGGCACGGTGCTGCTGGGCCAGGGTGTGTGGGAGGTGTTTGCAGCTTATGATGGGCTTATCCAGACAGGCACTCCTTGACAGCCGAGGAACGCCTGTGTGTCTGTTGTACTGGATCATGGTGGAATTGGTGGAGTTTGGTTTTAGTTCTAGATTTAAAATGGTTCCTTAATGTGGAGTTGAACTTTAAATGTTGATCTTTGTGCCTTAAAATTTGACTTGAAAAATCTCATAGTATGGATTGCCTACATATAAATTTTGTCTAAATAGTCTGAGAAAATTTTGACATGAATAGGTAAACCTGTGGTGTCTCTTTTTATGTGAAACAAGCATAGATAATGTTAAATGAACACACTGCACACTGTACAACACATACACACACACCACCCACCACACACACACCCCAAATGCATACACACAACATACACATCACAGGGAGATGACTTGTGATGACTTTGGGCGGCAGCTGTTTTCTTTCTTGTGAGAAAATTGTAAATATCACATTTCCAGAAATACCCAGTGATCTCATCCATTTCTTTGATGTTCGTGTTTAAAAATCCTCCTAACAGATAAATGATTAGTGAAACTTTGACCCTGTAGAGAACAGGCCGATGCTCTCGGCCTCCCCACAAGGCTTACCCTTGACTATTG